AGGCAGAGGCAGCACCAGGTACTCACCCCGAGTTACGAGGCAGAGGCAGCACCAGGTACTCACCCTGACCTTCCTTCCTAGCTTTAGTGACCTCACCCTTCACAAAAACTCCTGTGCACTGGCACCATCAGCCGGCCCCACAGGGCCATCTACTTCCTAGGATATTTGCTAACAGGAAAAGCAGTAATTGCAGAAAACAAATGCTGCTTCTCACCCTCAAGAATGTCCTCTTTTGCTGGAATGCAGCAGCCAGCACTTCCCTTCCTTCCTGCAAAGTCCTCCAGCATTCCTAGGAGCAAGGGACAGCCAGGTAGGCAGTTATGTGACCTAAGTCTAGAACCATGGGCCCTGCCAGAAGGACATTTCAGTAAAAGGACAGACACCGTACCCAGTGAGAGACAGGCACAAATCACTGGAATGTGAGAGCTGCTGCCCAAACATATTTTGAACTGCATTATTCTTAACACACAAAAACCAGGCCAAATTCTAATCCTGTGTTATGAATTTAAAAGTCTCTAAGAAATGCCCTGCCAAGGCCCAGCGTCCACGTCACTTCACAAGTGTTTTCTGGGTGTAAACGGCAAGGCTGAGAAAACACGTGTCACCAGAGCTGGCCGAGAGGGCTGTATGCTGCTGACTCGGAGCCAAACTTGGCTTCCGGGCCGGGGAAGGAGTGAGACTCACTCCCTGAAGTGCAGGAAAAGGTGCCTCAACTGAGGATTTGCTTCTACTCAGAGGATATCTGGTCAGAAATGGGACTGGCAGCTTTCTCCCAGTAGAGAGGACGCGGGACGTCAGCCCCACCCCAGTCCTGCTCAGGCGATGTGCCCACCCCGCCCAGACCCTCAGCAGCCCTGTGCACACCACCCACATTTCACTGTTCGCAGCTCCCTGACGTCACCAGAACGTGTGTTTACACTCAGCATTTCTGTGATGCCTGATTTCCCTGCACTCTGAGGAGCTGCATTTCTAACCAAATGCTCTGCAGTGAGAAGACTCAGAGGATCTGCTTTCTTTACAAGGCCCTGGTGATAATTTAGCATGAAAGGAAATGCTTCCTAATTAATTAACTAATGCTTTAAGTATTTAGCTCTTTGAATTGTATCTCTGATAATCACACACACTCTGGAGATAACACTCCAGGGGCCGGGCTCTGCATCAGAGGCCCGGGGCTGCAGTCCAGTGACA